GGGGTCTGCCACGCCTCCTTCTGCCTGTTACATACATGTCAACAAAACCATTATACCCTGATTTCCCATTGAAAATGGGTTCAGGGTATAAAAATTTTTGGGCAAAAAAGTCATTGAAAGTGAAGTACACGAAATAAGCTGTGAAATGGAAAAGCCAGTTATTTTAGTTTGTTTAATTCTAAATGTTATTTGTTAAAACAAAAAAATAATGAAGTGCCTTAATACATAATGATTGACTGATAAATAAAACCCCATATTAATTTTAGTTTACCGGGAATACTGCTTTAAAATTTTACTGTACCGCTGCACGAAATATGCTGTGAGCATACAGAACTGTACGTTCTGATATTGTCAGTTCTGAAAGATAGTCCTACTATAAGAGAAATTCAACAAATAAATTCTGATTTTATTGCCCACCCTGCAGCCCAAGTACAGCCGCTGTTGCAGTTAGCGGAGCGCGCATATATAGGTGCGTATGGATGCATAAAAGAAGTACAGAATGACTAGAATATGAGCTTGCAGGGTTCAGGATATCTTCTAGTCGAGCAGTCTCGACTAGAGCACTCTTGGCATTCGCAAGTTTAGAAATACTATCACTATTAAAATATAATCATTATTTAATTAGTAATTAAAACGAAATGCAAAAAATTCTCTACTAATAATACTGATACAACTTGTATAATTGTAGTGACAGCTTCGATGTGGTGCGTGATTGGAAAGACATTCTCTCCGGAGGTGAAAAACAACGAATGGCTGTCGCTCGTCTATTTTATCACAAGTATTAAATAAATAAATAGGTATTATATTTGAGTAATCTAATCTCTTTAAAGGCCACGGTATGCTCTTCTTGACGAATGCACTAGTGCGGTTTCAATAGACGTGGAAAGCTCAATATATGAAGTTGCTAAGAGCATGGGCATTACGCTATTGACAATCACCCATAGACCAACCCTATGGTAAGCCGAAATTTATAAATATAATTACCTTGCCATATACTATACATGTATT